TCTAAAAATACTATTGTTGTAAAAAAGGGAATTGCAAATTTATAACTTCTAAGTTTTAATATTCATTATACTAGATATGCTGTTTAATACTATATTATTTTAGAAGTTAGAATTCATCAAATATATTTGGCAATTAGGACAATCAATTAATAAAAGTCCTGCAGTTTATGTGAAATCGAATTATGTATATTAATGGAAAACATTATTTAGGAATGTTATATTGTTTATCTATATAGTACTTTGCTGATATGATTATATAGATATTAGAGAAGTTTGAAATAGAATTTCAGTCAATAGAATTATATTAGAACTAAACGATATATCCTAGAATATAATAGTTTCACTTTAATTAGTTAACTTTTAATCAGCAGAATCAATAGCTATGATGGGAAAGTTGTAAGATAGTACTTTAGAGAACGTTAAATTCTTCAATTATGTTACTTTAGACGAAAATATCTTGAGTGTTGTTGAATAATATTGAGCTTATACTTATTTCAATTAACAGCTAAGAAATTTATGCAATCCTAAGAATCGATATTTCTCTTGTTTAAAAATGCCGTTTTCAATTTTAAGTTTCTAGCAATCATAAATTGTAATATCATTAAGACCAAAACCACGTTCCATAACTAAATTTGATATTGACACATAATCATATTAAATGGTAATCAATGAGAAATCAACTAACTTTCTATATTCATTTATTGAATCTTTAATATAGTGGTTGTTGATTTAGCTAAAATAATTTAGCGTAATATTCTATGTTTAACTTGAATATTTCTTTAGGTATATAAATTTGATTATGCTATCATAATGATTATCTTCAAAAAGTAGACTTGTAAATTATTAAGTAATATTTTAAGATAAGAAATTATTATGATTCACAATACCAATAGATTTTGTAAGAAATTAACATTCTTTAAACTTTACATTATCTAAATAACTATTTCGATTTAATAAAATTAATGTTGTATTAATTAATATGGTTTAAATTATTTCTAAATTAATTATTTCCAAACGAAACATTTTTTCAAAATCAAATAAATATTAAGAATTTGATATGTAACTAGTCAGAATTAAATTTGATAATTTGAGCTTCCCATTTTCAATACTTTATGAACCTTTTATAAATGTTGAATTAGTAAAGTTTGAAATTAAAGTTACAGTATCTATTTCAACATAATCTTATTCACCTAATTGTAAATCCAAAAATCTCGTTTCAACTTTACATTATATTAATGTTATATTGCTAAAAATTAATTTTTTCGGATAAATAGTTTCCTCTATATTAATAAAACTACCCTAGGTAATTATTGAAACATTGTAAATGTACAAATTATTCATCTAAAGAGACGTGACATTTTTAAAATTAAATGAAAAATTAAAATCACGATCATTGATATAGTCATTTTTTAGAAAATTAATATTTGCTAAAAGTATTGTTTATGGAGAAGAGCTTCTAAATATAAACCTTGAGATTGAAATCGATGTTAATGTAATACTTGATAGAGTGATTTTTGAAAAATTGATGAATTCGATATCGGAATGAAGAATAAAAATGGTATCAAATTAAAAGTTAAATTCAATTTCTACATCTCTAATTGAAAAATTTATATAAATACTTTAAAGTAAAAAT